TCATAAATGAGTTATTTCCAACTTATTTCATTTATAAGAAAACGACATATAATTTGGCATGCCATTCTGATAAATAAGCTACAGCCCAGATGTTAAGAGAATGAATGCTCAAATTAAGCCACCCTGGATACAAATCCCAACCACATGTCCTTGAGAACTTTAACTTCTCTATACTTCAGCATCCTCATCTATGAAACAAATAACAGTATCACCTCACAAAGTTATACCAAGTATTAAATGAAGCAATACACAATTACTACCTGGTGTCTGGAGGCCTGGTGTGGCACTGGATAAACATGGAACTGCTAAACACAAGGTCAGCAGTTCATACACACCAGGTGCTCCTCAGAAACCCTATACAGGGTAGGTGAGTCTGAACCAACAGGAAACAACCTGGTGTTTAATAAATATTAACTATTGATCATCTCTGCATCTCCAACAGTGACATTTGTTCATTTAACAGTAAGCAGTAAACGTAACGGACTTCTTTTGTGTTCTCCCTCACTCACCCCTTTCAATTTCTTCCTTGGCATACTAACTACCTTAAGTATTATTAAGTTCATCACCCCAACATTCTTCCTTGTATAAAACCACCAGAAAAACTAAGGAAAAATGCAACTTTGTGATCACTCAAAGTTGCTACTTACTTAGTAGTTTTTAAGGTCATCCAGTTGTTCCCAACACATAGCCATTGTGTAGGGTTTTTTGAAGCTGTAAATCTCTGCCATAGCACATCTTTCTCCCAAGAAGTGGCTGGTGGGCTCCAACGGTTAACCTTGTGGTTCATAGTCCAGAGCCACTGTGCTCCCCTACTTAGTAGTGATAATACCAAATTTTCAACAAACACCAATTACTGAAAGTGACTAGAACAGAATAGGAATGGAATTCTTATATAAACGATTAATGACCATTACTTTTACCACACAGAATGTTAAAAAAAAAATCCTTCTTATATGAGGGGGCTTCAAAACGTACATGGACAAATGAATAATGAAAAGATAATAAAATTTTTCCATGAATTTTTTTGAATCTCTGTCATATTAAACCCATTTATTAACACATATCCTACCCAAACATTATTTTTAGGTTAAGTGAAATACATGTCACTCTATAGTTACCTTATAAATGATTGCCAACATACAAGCTTTCATTTATGGGAAAAGCTGAAATTTATTGACTCAATATTATTGCCAAAAACCTTAAGCTAAGCAAAAACTGCTTTATTTAAGTTTAATGCTCTTTTTAAGTCCTGCTCGAATGCCAGATAATTCACCACTGTAACGCTGCTCCTCTCTACGAACTTCACGAACTTGGCCTCTTCTTCGAATTTTGGCTCTTCTGAACTTCTCCCTGTGTTTCACTCTGGGATTGCGATCTATCTTCTTTCTCCTAGGTGTAAGTCCTCTATTTTTAGCAATCTGATAGGTAATGGCTCTCTTTGCATTTTGATCTTCAAGAGCCTGCTCTTCAGTGCTTTCTTCTTTCTTTCTTTTCAACTTTTGCTTGTCTTCTATTTCTTTATAGTATTTCAGCACACCTTCTTCATCAAAATTGGAATCATCAGAAGCATCTATATTAGCAGAGACAGCAGCAGGAGTCTCTAAAGCAGATTTTGACTTGGCTTTGGTGGATTTTACTTTTAGAGTCAATTCTTTCTTTCTAGTATCATTCTTAAGAGTGAGTAGATGACGAATTTCGGAAGACAGCTTCTGATCTACAACTGACAGCTTGTTGATCAATTTTCTGTAGGTAACAAGCCTTTCTATGACAGGATGTCCCTGTGCAGGGACTCGCCTAGCTTTCAGGATCAAATAAAAACTAATGTTGGAACAGTAGTTCAAGTACAGGTTGTACTTGGTCCTCAGGTATTGGCTTCCTTTCCCGGGAGGTATGATTCCTTGCTCCACCAACCGCAGCAAAGGCTCCAGCTCATCCTTCACCTCTGTCAGCCTGACTTTCAAGTCTTCTATCAACTCCAAGAGCTCTGGTGATTCCTTCCGCAGCATTTTCAGCTTCTCTTTCACCGAAACTTTCGTCAAATCCTTCACAACCTGTGTCCCGACCTCATCTGCCTGGGGTGTCGGTTTTGCAAAGGCCTCCACCCAGGTGACTCCAAAATCATCTTCTTCAAGGGTTTGAGCTAGGCGCCGCTGGATGAGCTGTGCCTCTTCCTCCTCCTCTCTTTCTTCCTCTTCTACTTCTTGCTGATTCTGCCGGCCTCGGGACTTGGGTCGATAGTCCGTGTCATAGTAAAGCTTTTTCCTCTGACCCCACGACAAACTCGGATCCCCAGAAGCCTCAGTCTCACTCTGCACGGAGCTTCCACCATCATCATCATTGCCATCTTCCTCATCACCCACACTCTCACCATCTTCATCGTTATCATCGTCAATATCAAGAGCTAGCACTTCCTCCTCCTCCTCCTCGTCTTCATCCCCACTGTCTGCTTCTTTCCAGCCTTTAATCAAAACGGACTGGGACCGTGCCTCATGGAAATCATCTACCTGATCTTGGTAGTAGCTGGAGTCTCCAGGTGAGGGTGGCAATTCGGAGTCGTCTTCATTTTCGTCCGCCAGGCCGCGCCCCGAATTGGCTCGCACCGCTGCCCACTTGGCCGCTCCACGCCGCCGGGATCTCCCAACCATATCTCACACGCTGTATCAGGTTACTACGCCGGCACCGGAGTTTCGGACACCTCTGACCTTGGCGCGCGCACTACGCGTTTCAGCAACACGCCGTGAGCTCACCAACCACGCGAGTTTTTCGGTTCTCCCGTACGGTGCCAATGCTTCCGAGTCCTTCCGGCTCCCAGGATGCTTTTTGTGTGCTTGTGAACCTGGACTTCCGCTTGGACAAGCCGGCCTGACACTTTAACGGCGCATCCTGTTTCGTAGTTCCCTTGCTTCCTATGAATTAAAACCCTCCGTGTAGGAAACACAGGAAAGTAAAGTTCTGTTCCGTAGAATTCATCCCGGAGATTTCTGTTCTTATTATCGCGATCCTGGGTGAGGCTGGGGGGTGGGGTTAGTGGGTGGGATCACGACGGAGAGCGAATGGGGCCCATAGAGGGCGCGCCACCTCTACGCCTAGGCGCTGTCGGTAGTAGGACTGCGAAGTCAAGTGAGCTACAGTGTACGCATACCGAGTCCTGCCTCCTAGCAATGTGCAATGGTGTATATAACTTACCTGCTTGTTGAATTCATTCTATCTCCTCCCTTATCAATCTTGAAGATAATCAGGTTATTTTTTTCACTGCTCCCCTCTTGCCTGCATCGTCTAAGTACCACATTTCTGGGCACTGGCGGCAACGCCGCTGTTCCCAAAAATCCAGACTTTGTCATCGGGGTGTGAGAATTTAGGAGGCTTGAGGTGATGTTAGCCCATCTCCAAGTCTTTCTATAGGACCTGGTGACTTCAGGAGATTTGTATGTACTGAGTCCCTGAGGAGTCCTGGTGTGGCGCTGGAGAATAAGCGCTGGACTGCTAACCCCAATTTGGCCTTACAAACCCTCTAACCGCTCCCCAGAAACCCTAAACAGGGTCTCTGTGAGTCAGAACGGTTTCACTGGCACAACAGCAGGTGTCCCTGAAAGATTACAAAGAGAAGCAGAGCTCCACTATAGAGCTTGATTTAGTTGCAGGGATGGGTCCGAGAGACAGGGGATTTCTCTTTTAGTAGAAAAGGTTCCTCTTCAAGACAGGAGGGAAATAACATATTTTAGTTTTCAGGGATGTACTGGACCGCAAGGTCTGTTCGCACTACAAGGTCGGATGTTCAAACTCACCAGCCGCTGCTCGGAAATCCTATACAGGGTCGCTATGAGTCGTAATTTATTAGAAGGTACTTTAAAAATAACAACCCCAAAATAACAACCCTTTATTCAGTGTAGTGGCTCCGTAGGACCACAAGGTTGGGAGAAAGATGAGGTTTCTACTCTTGCAAAGATTTGTTGTTGTTGTTAAGTGCTGTCTCATAGAGACCTGTATAGGGTTTCCGAGGAGCAGTTGGTGAGCTTGAACCGCCGACCTTGCAGTTCAAACTGCTTTGCTGTCTGGCACATTAACCCACAGCGTCACACCAGGACTCCTCTGAAACCCTATACAGGGTCGCTATGAGTAGTATCCAACTGCGGGGCACCTAACAGTGCAACAAACCTTTTTTCATTCTTGAATGTGTCATCAAGTCTGTAATCGTGAGCAAAATTACACAACTTTCCTGTTCTTTGGAACTTGTGTTCAAGCGAGGGAGATGTGTTAATCAAGTAATCTTACAAGTCATGTCAAATTATAATTGGAATAACCCATTATCATTTAGTTGAATCTGGCTCAGAGCAGAATTGTGCTCATTAGGGATTTGTGGCGCCTTAGGATAAGGAGTCCTGGTGTGGTGCTATGTGTTAATACGCCAGACTGCAAAGCCTTTTGAACTGCAAGCAGATCGGCAGTTCAAGCTCACCAGCTGCTCCTCGGAAACCCTATACAGGGTCACTATGGGTAGAAACTCACTCGACGGCACTTCACAACAACAGGATAAGTATTGGACCACAAGGTTGGTTTGAACGGCAAGGTTGGTGGTTCAAACTCACCAGTAGCTCCTTGGAAACCCTATACAAAGTCCTTATGAGTCGGAACCAACTTGACAGTTCTTAACAATAACAGGTATTGCAATGGCAAATTTGTTAGAAGTAGATTTTCATGTCTTTTTCTCCAGGCACCTATGGGTGAACTTGAACATCCAACTTACATTTAGCAGCTGAGCTCCTTGACTATTTGCACCACTCAGGGACTCAGAATTGGCCTAAGTATTTTGAATATATATGTGCACATCTGCATTTGCCCACCTACAGCAGATGAAAACATTCAAGATGTCTTCGATATCATTGCTTTTGTGCTTAGTTTAATACTACCTCTTCCCCTTTGAGAATGTCTATTGCATTTCTTCCTTAACGCCTTTTCTGATTTCTTCCTTAATTCTCTTAGTTGTCTTTTCCTCAGTTCACATTGTTCTCTGACTACTTTACCATACTAGCTTTCAAATATTTCCTTAATTGTTCTTCTGATTCCCAGTACATCTGTGGTATATTGAGACATTATCATCAGATAACATCTTTCTAAACACCCTTTCTATCAATCCACACCCTGGCTCAAAACCTTCAAAGGTTAGGGTTGGAAGGCTGCATTATCCAAGAGGCAGAAGAATTGCACCTGAGGAGCAGTTTTGCAGATTCATACCGGTGACTTGAGGCAGAAAGGTGTGATTCTTTCATGTTCCCCACATTCTCCTGATGACCATGGGTGTGTTCTGCCTGAATCCTCATTCACCACCTGCTCAGTTCTTGTTCTCCAGGAGGTCAGAACTCAGTCATGCAGCTGTGAGCTGTAGAATTGAAAGTCACACCATTGTGAATTGAGTGCTAATTGCACCATTTCTGTTGCCTGGATTCAAGTGACCTCTGCTGCAGACACACAGAGCAGATCCTAGCCAGCCCTGGACTAATTGGAAATTTCATTGCTGGTAATCTCATTGCTGGTCACCCTGCCTCTGGCTGCCCTCTGGGCTTGAAAGACCCCGATCCTAGCTGCTTTGAACCTGCATGAGCAACTTCTGGATTTGGTACCCTGAATATAAACAAGTTTGGACTATAGGAACTCCACCCAGGACTTGAAGCTCTGCCTTCTCATTCCTCCCAAATGCATCACCAGAGCTCATTGTCTGGCAGGAGCCCCTAGAGATTTCTCTGCTCTGAATCTGGCACCTGCCTTAGTCATGTCATTATGTTTGTTTACTTATTCTTTCTCCTCCTCCTTCTTCTCTTTCTCGCCACTTGTTTGTTTGTTTTTTTCAATCCTTTCTCCCCTTATTTCTTCTTTTCTGTTTCTCTCTCCCCTCTTTCTTTTTCTTTTTGATTTTGGTTTTTATTTACTATTATCGGATTTCTTTCTCCTTTCTTCTTCCCTCTCCCTAATTGTATTTAGTGCTGTTTCTTTCTTTTTATTTTCTCTTCTGTGGTTTTATTTTCCTTTTCCTCTTTCTCTTTTTGGTTGTTATATTCTTTTTTCTTGCTGCTGCCTGTTTCTTTTCCTTTTAAAAAAACTTTTATTGTGAATTGAGTGAAGGTTTACAGAGCAGATCATCAGTTTTACATTCAACAAAACATATACTGTCTTTACTACATGGTTGCAATCCCCTCCATGTACTAGCAGTTAACAGCATTTACTTCTATTCACTTTTAACTATTGCATTCCTCACTGTGTCTCCCACTACCTTCACCTTTTCTCTGTTAACCTTCCTCTTGTTGTATATTGTCTGCTCTGTCATCCGTGTTAACATGTATCTACTCACTAGCCCATGAATAATTATCCTTCCCTGCCCACTGTAGCCATCATAGATTGTTTCTTTTATGAAGAAAACTTTTTTTTTTTTAAACTTTTTACAACATTGGTCTCATAACAATGCTTGTCCTTTGGTGATAGACTAATTTCACTTGACATAATGTACTCCAGGTTCAACTATGTTGTGAGGTGTTTCTCATCATTATTCTTCAATGTTTCATAATATTTCATTGTGTGTATAAACCAAAGTTTGTTTAACCATTCTTCTATTGATGGCCATTTCACCTGTCTTCATCTTTTTGATGTCTTTTGTAGATAGTATATTGAGGGATCCTGTTTCATATTCATTCTGCTCTTTATGTCTTTTGACTGGTACATTCACTCAATTTGCATCCAGTGTAATTATCAACAGGTATGAATTGATTGTTGTCATGCATGTGTGTGTATTTTTGTGGTGCTGCTGGATTCTTTGTTCCACATAATTTTCTATGCTGAGTTAGTTTTGTGGGTTTTCTCTTTCTTTATGTTGCGTTAATATTTACTAAATCTTTCTGATTTTCTTTTTTTATTTTGATATACAGGTGTATTATTTTTCTTTTAGGTTAGCTTGCATTTTATTACCTTTTCCCTGCGTAAAACAGTCTGCTTTATCTTGAAATGTGCTCGACTTCCTTGTCATTTGAAAGTTCTGTATGTACACAGTTTCCTCTTTTTGCTTTGTAGTTAATTTCATTATATAAGGGTGAGTCCAAAATTATCTGCACTCTGGCTGTAAATTTTTATTTTTTAATCAGCTTTTAGGAGAGACAGATACATCCCTTTTTGTACACAATCTCCTTGCTTTTCAATATACTTTGTCCATCTGTCAACAAGCTTTTGTATTCCCTTACTGAAAAATGTTTTGGGCTGAGCCACAAATGCACTGGTGTCTTTACTTATTCATCATAGGTGAATCTTTATCCACAAAGGACTGCTTTCAGGGAACCAAGTACGTGAAAGTTTGATGGAGCAATACCAGGACTATAGGAAGGATGCTTTAATATCTCAAAATGAAGTTTTTGCAGAGTGTCAACAGTATGGGCAGAGGTGTGTGGATGTGCATTATTAGGCAAGATCACAACACAGTCCTCTGAGTGTAATCCCCAGTTTAGGCTTCAGCTCTTCAGTGAGCATCTCACTGCAGTTAGCACTGTTGATTGTTGAACCTTTTTCCTGATAGTGTTTCAGATGGTCTTTGAGAATTCCAGAACACTGGAAGCATACATTTTCCAGCTGTTGGTTGACTTTTGAACTTTTTCTTGGTAGGTGATTG